TGTCTCTATAAATATCCACACACACACTGGAGAGCTTGCAGACAGGTGCATCCAGTTGGGAAACAGGCCACATGCAGTCGAGCTCTGGTGACCAGGGACGATGTCTGTGCCAAGTTTGGAAAGGTCTGTCTGCTTGGTGGCCTGGGCCAAGGGAGCCCCCGGCACTGGGCAGTGTGGGGCAGAGCTCGTCACGCATTTCCAGGGGAAGCCGTCCTCGCCCAGGGGACGTGTCCTCTCTTTCCCTCCCTCCCTCCCTTCTTCCCATCCTTCCTCTTCCGTCCTCCTTCCTTCCTTCCACCCTCTCTTCCCCGATCAGAAATGTTTCACTGAGTGAGGTTTTGGGTGGAGACCGAAGTGGGCAGCGTTGAGACGGCCTGTGGTGTGGACGTCTTCCACCTCCCTGTTTAGACTTGGCACTAGGTGTTTTATTTTATTGGAGGCTATTGTGAATGGAGTTGTTTTCTTAATTTGTTTTTCTCAGCAGATTCATTATTGGCATATAGGAAAGCTATTGATTAAAAAAAAATTCAGTTGTAGATGGACACAATACCTTTATTTATTTATTTATTTATTTTTATCTGGTGCTGAGGATTGAACCCAGTGCCTCCCGCATGCCTGGCGAGCGCTCTGCCACTGAGCCACGACCCCAGCCCCAAGCTTTGATTTTCGTATGTTGATTTGGTAACCTGCTAACTTTGCCCAATTTGTTTATGAGCTCTAGCAATCTTTTGGTGGAGTTTTATTTGATTGTCTGGATATAGCATCAGATCATCTGCAAACAGTGATAATTTGACTTCTTCCTTTCCTGTTCTTTTTTTTTTTGCTAAAGGAAGCAACTACAGAAAGCTTTTATTTGTTCAAAATAACTAGTGCTACTGATGCAAAACAAAGAAATAAAACCCAACAACTCCCCAATACTACTTTCAAAACCAACATATCAAACTTGATTTTCATTAGAATGTACTTATTTTTTCAAACTAGTAAATCAAAAACCAAGAGTCAGATTTTATATATATTATTTACACACACACACACACACACACACACGTATATATATATATATACATCAATGCAAATAGTTATTGAGCTTCATCTTCTGGACAAGAATGCCAAGGTAGCCTCTCTTCATCAAAAGCAATTATAGTCTGAGGACACTTCATATTTGCTTCTTTTGCCAGCACCCAGTCGACCTCCTCTGAGTCTTTTCATTTTTTTTTTAAATTTTTAATGTTTATTTTTTTTTAGTTTTCGGCGGACACAACATCTTTGTTTGTATGTGGTGCTGAGGATCGAACCCGGGCTGCACGCATGCCAGGCGAGCGCGCTACCGCTTGAGCCACATCCCCAGCCCTGAGTCTTTTCATTTTAAAAGAACATCAATTCTCCACTGCTGTCTGTGGCACCAATCACTCGTGCAGGAACAAGTCTCTGGCAGAGCCTCCTGGTTGGTCAGCAGCATCTCTTTTCTTCTTTGACTTGCTATCATCAGATTCACTGTCAGACAAAGATTTTCTTTTGGTTCCATCTTTTTCTTTACCAGCTTTTTGAGAATTAAGACATGTTTCAATCAACTCTGGACAATCTAGATCTTCTTCAGTTCCCAAGTATTGTCAGCACCTGTTAAGTCCCTTCCACTTCAGAACGTATTCCACCTTTCCATTTACTACACGCCAGTCTAGAGCTTTTTCTACCACAAATCCTTCAGGCTCTGCCTCTTCAGCTTTTTTACTCTTTCCATCCTGTTTCGTTCCCATTTTTGCAATGTAGTCTGATAGGAGGCCATTTTTTTAAGTTGCGGACTTGAGGAGCTGTGATCACCACCTCCGACGCTCCGGGTCACCATCTGCAGCGTCTGCAGCCCTGCGTGCCTCAAGCTCCCTCTCCTGTTCTTATTCCTCCCATTTCTTTCTCTTGTCCAGTTGTCCTTGCTAGCATTTCTACACTGTATTAGATAGGAGTGGCGAGAGTGGACATCCTCGTCCTGTCCCAGATTTTAAAGGAAATGTTTTTAGTTTTTCCTCATTTACTGTGAGGTTGGCCTTGGTTTTTCATACACAGTCTTCATGATGTTGAGGTGGATTCCTTCTATGCCTAGTTTTTCAGTGTTTTTGTTATGAGTGGGTGTTGAATTTTGTTGAAGGCCTTCTCTGCATCTATTGAGATGACTAAGTGGTTTTTGTCCTTAGTCCGGTTACTGTGATGGATTACATTAATTGATGTGTGTGTACTGAACCATCCGTGCATCTCTGGAATAAGACCAACTTGGTTGTGGTGTATAGTCTTAATATGTTGTTGAATACTATTTGCTAATGTTTTACTAAGTATCTTTTTTTTTGCATCTGAGTCATCAGGGATATTGGTCTGTAGTTCTCTTTCCTTGATGTACTTATCTGGTTTGGACATGAGTGTGATATGGGCTTCATAGGGTGAATTTGGAAGTGTTCCATTTGTTTCTATTTCATGGACTACTTTAAGGAGTATTGGCATAAGTTCTTCTTTAAAGATTTGGTAGCATTCAGCTTAGAATCCGTCTGGTCCTGGGCATTTCTTTGTTGGAATGCCTTTTATTATTGCTTGTATATCTCATGACAAGTTATTGGTCTACTTTGGTTTCCTGCATTCTCTTGATTCAGTTTTAGCAGATCATATTTGTCTAGAAAATATCCATTTCTTCTAGGTTTTCCAATTTATTGCAGTATAAGTTCTCAAAATTGCCCCTAATGATCTGCTGGATTTCTAAGATGTTCATGGTGTTTTTTCCTTTTTCATCTATAATTTCACTTTGTCTTTCTTTTTCTTTTGTCAGTTTGGCCAAGGGCTTATCAATCTTGTTGATCTTTTCAACAAACCAATTCTTTGTTTTTTTGAATTTTCAAGTTGATTGATTTCGCTCTGTCTGCTGTTGATTATTTCCTTCCTTCTACTGGTCTTGGAATTGGTTTGTTCTTCTTTTTCAAGGGGCTTGAAAAGCACCATTCGATGTTTATTTGGGATCTTTCTGATTTTCTTATGTAGGCGCTCATAGCTATAAACTTTCCTCTTAGAACTGCCTTCAGAGGTTCTGGTAGGTGTCACTATTTTTATTTGAGCCCAAGAATTTTAAATTTCTCCCTTGATTTCTTGTATCACTCATTGATCATTCAAAAGAGTATTGTTCAATTTCCATGTGTTTTTATAGTTTCTGTAGGGTTCTAATTTCATTCCATTATGATCTGATAAGATGCAAGGAATTATATCTTGTTTATTGTGTTTCTAAGAGTTGCCTTGTGGGCTAAAATATGGTGTATTTTGGAGAAGGCTCATTGAGCTGCTGAGAAGAAGGTATATTTAGCTATTATTGGATGAAATATCTATAGATGTCTGCTAGGTCCATTTGATTTATAATATTTTTTAGGTCCAAGGAGTCTTCACTGAGTTTATGTCTGATGACTTAAAATCTAATGGTGAGAGTTGTGTTGAAATCATCCAATATGGTTGTACTGGGCCTATCAGGGGCTTTAATTTGAGTTGTCTCTTTTATGTAATTTCTTGAGGCATTTGAGGCATAAATATTTCTTATTGTTGTATCTTTTTTACTGGATTGCTCCCTTTGCCAATATGAAGTGACCTTCTTTGTCTCTTCTGATTAAATCTGCTTTATCAGTATGAGTAGCTACTCCTGCTTGTTTTTGAACTCCATTCACATAGTATATAAATTTCCATCCTTTCACTTTCAGCCGGGGGCTGTCTTTGCCTGTAAGGTAAGCCTCTTGCAAACAATATATAGTTGAGTCTGGTTTTTAAATCCACTCTGCCAGCCTATGTATTTTAATTGGAGAGTTGAGATCATTTACATTTAATGTTCTTATAGACAGATGTTTATTAATTCCTGACATTTTGATTTACTTCCCATGTTTAATTTGGTCCTATTTCTCATTTGCTTAGCTATTTTTCAAATGACATTTGTTATTTTGTGAGCTCTGAGGTTTTTGATTTCTTTTGTATGCAGTGTTTCTTTAAGTAGTTCTGTAGTGCTAGTTTAGTAGTCATGAATTCTTTTAGTTTCTGCTTATCCTGGAAGATTTTTATTTCATTGTTGATTTTGAATGATAGCTTTGCTGGATATAGCAGTCTTGGTTGACAGTTATTTTCTTTCAGGACTTGAAAAGTTTGTGCTAAGACATCAGAAGTGATTCTGATTGGTTTATCTCTAAATGTGATCTTACAGTTTTCTCTTGAGGCTTCTAAAATTCTATCCTCATTCTAGATGCATCTTGTATCTGGATGTCCATCTCATTCTGAAGGTTTGGGAATTTTTCTGTTATTATTTCCTTGAAGAGTTTATCCATTCCATTAGCCCAGATCTCACAGTCCTCGTCAATTCCAATGATTCTTAAATTTGGTATCTTCATGTTGTCCTAGGGTTCTTGTATATTCTGATAATGGTTGCTTATTTTTTTTCTTTAATACTGTATATATGTTCAAGACTCACCACTTTGTCTTCCAGTTCTGAGAATCTGTCTTCAACATGTTCTACTCTATTAGAGATTCTTTCAACTGAACATTTTATTTGATGTATTGTGTCTTTAATCTAATCTATAAGATTTGTTTCTTTTAAAACTTTTCTATCTCCTTATTAAATTTCTCATTCATATTATACTGACTTTCTTAATTCATTCAGTTGTTTTTATGTGTTTTCTTGGAATTCATTGATCATTTTTATAATGATTCTTTTGAATTCCTTTTCTGATATTTCATCCCTTTAGTGTTTTGGGGGTCTTTTGATGATGATTTATGACATCTGTGAGGTATAGTGTTAGCTTGCTTTTTCATGTTTCTTGTATTCATTTGTTGGGTTTTATGCATTTCTTGGAAGGGATTTATTTTTCACTCATATGTGTGGGCCATTTTAGGGCACAGTCTTCACCTGCCAAAGTGTCCTAGAGTGATATGGAGTGAGACCCCCTTGTAGGGTGATGTCCACAGACTTTGTGTTATCTCTCTCTGTTTTTCCTATAGCAATGGGTGTCATAGGTGAGACCTGGTGTCCTACCCCTAGCTGTTTCTATTTGGGGCCTGATTAATAATTTTTTTCTCTTTTAATCTTTTAATTAAAGTATAGCACAAGGTAGAGTGTCCTTGATTTGTGTGGAGTAAGGTGTGGCTGTCTTTTGATTGAGTTTTGTTCAGTGGAAGAGTTTCTACCCTGTGAACTTGCAGTGTCTCGGCACCTCAAAGAACGGGGGAAACAAACAGTAGCAACAACTAATGCAAACAATATATAGCATTAAACTACATATCTGGTTCCTATTATGACATCTAGAATGTCAATTGCCTCAAATAACCAGAAATGGTAGTGTCAGCATTTGCCAACAGCAAAAACAGGAAGTAACCGTGAACTATGTCTGGCATTGAAACAAACAATAGGTGTCAGCTATGTCATCCACAGCAGTAATAATTGCAATAGCATCAATGGTGGTGGCAGGAGTTACATAAATGAATTAGCGCTAAAAGATGGTAAGAATACAGTTAATCAGGAGAAATTCAGAAAATGTGATAAGACAATAGAAAAGAGTTTACAAATTTCAAAAGTGAGCAGAGAGAATGCAGAAGAGTTGTTCCATGGGGAAGGATAAAAAATAGAAGTAATGAAGTGAAGGGAGAGTGGGTCAGGGGAGCCAATCCTTCACCCTCTCTGCTGCCGCAATCACAAGAGGCTTGGCTGTTGGCAGGAGAGAGACAAATGAGAAACAACACAAAGCAAAGCCAAATGCACTAATCAAAACCCTAACCCTCAAAAGACAAGGCAAGGAAAAGTCACTACAGTTCAAAAATGCTAAAAATGAGAAAAAAGAAACAAATATGTTTATGTATGTGTAAACTAGTCAGCACAACAAAGACACACACAAAAACAAACTAACCCCACCAAACGATTCTTAATGAAAAATGAAGGAATTATCTGCCCCGAGGTGGTCAAAATAGTCGATGAGAATAGATGGTCACTGCCCACGCCTGACTGTCATTCCATTTCTTCTTGAGCTCTGTACTGTGAGCAAGAGCAAGGGCTGGGGTCATTAACCCCTTTCTCTTTTTGTGTCACTCACCAAGCTTCCAGTTAGAGTGGCCTAAGATTGACGCTGTTTCATATAATTCTCAGCTTCTCTTCTCCCCAGATGAGGTAGGATGGGATGGGATGTGCTGGCAGGTGGAGTTCTGTCCACACAGACGAGGTCAGTGTGCACTCCCAGGGAGGGGCTGCTGCAGGGTCTATGAGCCGAGTCCCAGCAGCTGGGGCTTAGGCCTAATCAGCCTCACAGTCTTTGCTGGGTGGTTTCTGCTCTGGAGAGATTAGATCAACACACCTCCAGGGCCTGGAAGTTCTAGTCTCTGCTGGGAGTCTGGACCTCCGGAGTCTCCCTAGGATTCTGCTAGTGGGTCAGGAGAGCCAATCCTTCACCCTCTCTGCCACGGCAATCACAGCCTTGCCAGGCTTCCCAGGCTCAGCCCTCGAGTGTACTCACACCCACACCTGTCTGACCCTAGGTGTGGGTCTAGATCTGCCTTCCAGGTGTGGGTCTAGTGTGAGTCTAGGTATGACCCACAGGTGTGGGTCTGTTACTACCCAGGTGTGGATCTGTGTCTGCCTCCAGGTGTGTGTCTAGGTCTGCCCTCCAGGTATGGGTCTGTGTTTGCCCCGCAGGTGTGGATCTGTTTCTGCCCCAGGTGTGTGTCTAGGTCTGCCCCACAGGTGTGGGTCTGTGTCTGCCCCGCAGGTGTGGATCTGTGTCTGCCCTCCAAGTGTAGATCTGTGTCTGCCCCCAGGTGTGTGTCTAGGCCTGCCCCACAGGTGTGGGTCTGTGTCTGCCCCCAGGTGTGTGTCTAGGCCTGCCCCACAGGTGTGGGTCTGTATCTGCCCCCCAGGTGTGGATCTGTTTCTGCCCCCAGGTGTGTGTCTAGGTCTGCCCCACAGGTGTGGGTCTGTGTCTGCCCCGCAGGTGTGGATCTGTTTCTGCCCCAGGTGTGTGTCTAGGTCTGCCCCACAGGTGTTTGTCTGTTTCTGCCCCCAGGTGTGTTTCTAGGGCTGCCCCACAGGTGTGGGTCTGTGTCTGCCCTCCAGGTGTGGATCTGTGTCTGCCCCCAGGTGTGTGTCTAGGTCTGCCCCACAGGTGTGGGTCTGTATCTGCCCCCCAGGTGTGGATCTGTTTCTGCCCCCAGGTGTGTGTCTAGGTCTGCCCCACAGGTGTGGGTCTGTGTCTGCCTCCCAGGTGTGGATCTGTGTCTGCCCCCAGGTGTGTGTCTGTTTCTGCCCCCAGGTGTGTGTCTAGGTCTGCCCCACAGGTGTGGGTCTGTGTCTGCCCTCCAGGTGTGTATCTGTGTCTGCCCCCAGGTGTGTGTCTAGGTCTGCCCCACAGGTGTGGGTCTGTGTCTGCCCCCCAGGTATGGATCTGTGTCTGCCCTCCAGGTGTAGATCTGTGTCTGCCCCCAGGTGTGTGTCTAGGCCTGCCCCACAGGTGTGGGTCTGTATCTGCCCCCAGGTGTGGATCTGTTTCTGCCCCCAGGTGTGTGTCTAGGTCTGCCCCACAGGTGTGGGTCTGTTTCTGCCCCCAGGTGTGTGTCTAGGTCTGCCCCACAGGTGTGGGTCTGTGTCTGCCCTCCCGGTGTGGATCTTTCTCTGCCCCCAGGTGTGTGTCTATGTCTGCCCTCCAGGTGTGGATCTGTGTCTGCCCCCAGGTGTGTGTCTAGGTCTGCCCCACAGGTGTGGGTCTGTTTCTGCCCCCAGGTGTGTGTCTAGGTCTGCCCCACAGGTGTGGGTCTGTGTCTGCCCTCCACGTGTAGATCTCTGTCTGCCCCCAGGTGTGTGTCTAGGCCTGCCCCACAGGTGTGGGTCTGTGTCTGCCCTCCAGGTGTGGATCTGTGTCTGCCCCCAGGTGTGTGTCTAGGTCTTCCCCACAGGTGTGGGTCTGTGTCTGCCCCGCAGGTGTGGATCTGTGTCTGCCCTCCAGGTGTAGATCTGTGTCTGCCCCCAGGTGTGTGTCTAGGCCTGCCCCACAGGTGTGGGTCTGTATCTGCCCCCCAGGTGTGGATCTGTTTCTGCCCCCAGGTGTGTGTCTAGGTCTGCCCCACAGGTGTGGGTCTGTGTCTGCCCTCCAGGTGTAGGTCTGATATCAGGACTGCAGATCTGCCCTGCAGGTTCTTCAAAAGGCCATCATTGGGACATGCGACCCTGGGACCCTTTCCTTTCCCCTTCACCCTGTGGCCTTGCACATGCTTGGCTGCAGGTTCATTCCAGTCTGTATGAGGGAGCAGATGACCTGAAGAGCCTTGGGAATGGTCTAGCCCTGTCCACACACTTCTGCTGGCCTTGGCCAGATAAGGTAGAAAGTGGCAGGAAAAATTCTCCCTTTCCAGCAATTCAACATGGAAATTTTGTTAGTTGAACTTAAAAAAATAAACAATTGGGGCTTGTGGTTTAGCACATTCTGGTTTCTTGAAGTTTATTTGTCTAATAATTTGTATTGTGTTTTATGAAAGTGATGATCCTTAGCAGGGAAATTAGTAGTGGCAGAGACATCAAAGGGACCTCCAGCTGGAGGTCCCATCTAGGAGAGTCGTCACCAGGCTCCTGGACCTCCCCAGGTCAGGGGGGGCAGCCCTGACCCTTTATCTGAAGGGCCACACTAAAATCCTCTGGCGATCAAGACGAGGACGTTGGAGCAAGCAGAGAGCTTCATTCAGACTCCCTCCACTCAGAGCCGCTCTTCGGATCAGTGTGGGAAGGGAAGGTTCCCAGGCAGGCCCTGGTGTTCATGGTCACGCCCTGGGCTTGACCTTCTTGGTGATGATGTCAGAGTTCTCCTTCAGGCACCCATCACTACTCTATTCCAAAGCACCTCTGCCCCTGAAGAGCCCTGGGCACTTGGATGAGAAAATCTGCTCTTCCGAAAAGCCACTGCTAGCATTTATGTGTCTCTTGCCAGCTAAAATCTGACGACTGGAATTCCCTGGTTCCTATGACGGAGCTTAAGCCAGGAAGCACTGCTTCCAGCCACAACTACTTCCTGGTCAACTCCCAGCAGAGGTGGACTCACGTGAGACTCAACATCTTCCCAGGTAAGTGCTACGTGGCCCCTGCAGCCCTGCCCTTCTTTATTCTGCACCTCATGTTTGTAAAATGACACGGATCGGGAACGGAGCTGCCCAGCGTTTAGGTCGTCATTCGCCCTCTTGGTGCCCCAGGAAATTCTTACCTTACTCTAGGGATCAATAGGTAGCTAATGAGAAATCACCAAGTTGACCAGGGTGTGGCAGAATCCGTGGATCAGGTTACATGTCTCCTAGCAACATCCATGTCCCAGGTACATTTTCCTATTTATAAAGAAATCCTGTGCCCTTTATCTGACATCCTCCTCACCAGCCCTAAGCAACTAAAGTTACTGTCTATCTTGATAGGTTTGACTATTTTGAAACTTTCATGTAAAACAACCACATTTTTTGACATTTCGTCTCTTTTTTCACTTCATATAATGTTCCAAGATTCTGTAGCATATACGGGAACTCCATACCTCTTCTTGACCAAAAAATCTCCACCAGTACACGCACAGCATTCTAGTTACCCGTTCACCAGCTGATGGACATTTGTTTCCACCTGTTGGCTCCTAGGATCTATGTTGCTGTAAACACTCACTAACTTTTGTGTGGATATAGGTTTTCATTTGTGTTGAGTATATACCCAAGATTGGCATTTCTGGGTCATATGGTCGCTGTGTTTAACTGTGTTTGAGAAACTGCTGGACTTTCCCAAAATGGCTGCAACATTCACATTCCTACTGGGAATTTTGATTTCTTCGCTTCCTTCCCAGCACTTGTTATCTTTCTGATTGTAGCCATCTTAGTGCATGCAAAATAGCACCTCATTGTGGTTTTGGTTGATTGGCATTTCCTTGATGCCTAATGATGGTGAGAGCATATTTTCATGTGCTTATTTGCCATCTGTATATTTTCTTAGAAAAATTTCCTTCCAGAATTATTGCTTATTTAAAAATTGGGTTTTTATTTTTAATTATCGAGTCATATATAAGTTCTTTATATATTATAGATACAAATCCCTTATCAGATACAAGATGTGCAAACAATTTCTCCCACTCTGTGAGGTGCCTTTTCACTTTCTTTGCAGGGTCATTTGAAGCACAAGAGCTTTTAATGTTGATGAAATTCAGCATATCTGTTCTATTCTTGTGTGTGTGTGTGTGTGTGTGTGTGTGTGTGGTTCTGGGGATTGAACGGGGCCTTGTGCAGGCAAGACAAGCACTCTACCAACCGAGCTGTATCCCCAGCCCATTCTATTCTTTTGTTGCTTATACTTTCAGAGTTATATCTAGAAAATCAGCACCAAATCAGGGATATGAATGAATATTCCTGTGTTTTTGTGTGTTTTATAGATTACATGTTTGCTCAAAGAAATAGATCATTTTAATCTTTGAGTTACATCTTTGGTTAATTTTGAGTTAAATTTTGTAGGTGGTATGAGGAAATTATTCAGCTGCATTCTCTTGTATCATATGAGTTGTCTAAAGAGCATTTGTTGAAAACACTCTTCTTTCCCGATGGAATGACTTGGGAACTCTTGTTGAAAATTAGTTGACCATAAACACATGAGTTTATTTCTGGACTCTCAATTTTGTCTTTGATCTATTTTTCTGTTCTTACACCATTAATGAACTATCTTGATTAGTAAAGTAAGTTTTAAAATTACAAATTGAGTCCTTTGGACTTTTTTCAAGAATTATTTTGGTGGTTTAGAGTCTTTTGCAATTCCATATTTTAGAATCAACTTGTAAATTTCTACAGAGAAACCAGCTGGAATTTAAAAAATTATTTGTTTACTCTAATTTATTATATATGACACCAGTTGGGATTTTGACAGAGGTTGCATTAAATCTGTAGCTCAATTTGGGAATTATTGGCACCTTAATAATATAAAGTTTCCCACTCCATGAACATGGGATAGTCTCCCATTTGTTTAGGTGTCCTCTAATTTCTTTAAAAAATGATTTGTAGTTTTCAGATTATAATTTCTGCACTACTTTTGCTAATTTTTATCTTGTACCTGCAACACTACTGAACTCCTTTGTGAGTAGTAATGGGTTTTGAGTGGAATATTTACAATGTTCTGTATACAAGATCACACTGAGAATAGAAATAGTTTACTTCTTCCTTTCTAACTGGGATTCACCCTCTGTCTCTCCCTTTCCAATCAGAATCTCTCAGTCTGTTTCCCACCCCCTTCTAATTGCCCTGGCTAAAATCTCTAATGCAGAATTGAACAGAAGTGGCAAGGGATGAAGTCTGCATATGATTCTCAGCAAAGATTCAATTTTGCAAATATGATCTTTTGTAGTCTCAACCAAATCGCTGAGCAGTGCAGTGCTGTAAGAATAAACACATGAGAGTCTTTCATGAGTTGAGGGGTGGAGGCGATGCTCATTGCTGACACCAGTGCCCAGGTGTGTGGGGTCTGTAATTTACCTATGATGCACTCCCAAGTGACTTTCCACCTCCATGGAGTTGACTTGCTACAGGTAGACACAGTGCAGAAGTGGACAGCTTGGCAAGTGGCCTGGCCCCAGGGATGCTACCTTCTAAATCTGGAGACAGATAACAGAGGGGACTTAAAAAGTGGGAAAATAACAAAGGTAACTTCAGCTGGGCATGGTGGCACACAGCTATAATCCCAGCAGCTCGAGAGGCTGTGGCAGCAGGATCTCAAGTTCAAAGCCAGCCTCAGCAACTTAGCGAGGTCCTAAGCAACTTAGTGGGATCCTGTGTCAAAATAAAAAAATAAAAAGGGCTGGGGATGTGGCTCAACGGTAAAGCATCCCTGGGTTCCATCCCCAATACCAAAAAACAAAAAGTAAGGTAACTTCCTACTGCAATCAGAGCTATAGAGTAGCTGAGCAGGCAGACGGAATAAAACTCATCTGGGAAATCAGGCAGCGGCAGGTGGACCTCCAAAGAGAGAAAGAACCTTCCTGGGGCCAGACGTGTAAATTGAGACTCAAGAATGACCATTTCCTGGAGAGCTGGGGAGGTGTCATAATAAGGTACTGTCACGTGCCAGGGCCCTGGGGTGATGGGACTGAAGTGGACAGGTGTGGCAGAGCCTAGCAGGAGGTGAGCCTGGAGAAGACGCAAGGACCCTGCCGGTCATGCCACCCGCAGTTACCTCTCTGACCTTTCCTTTTCAGATGGGGGGATTGCACGCCTTAGAGTATATGGTACTGGACAGAAGGACTGGACTGCAACCGATCCCAAAGATCCGGTAGACCTGGTGGCCATTGCCTTTGAGGGTGTCTGTGTAGGATTCAGCAATGCACATTTTGGGCACCCAAACAATATGATAGGTGAGAGAACATTCTAGGAGCCGGCTTTATGGAGAAGTGTGGGCACTAGCATCAAATACCCCATAGGCCAGAGGACGGGCCCTTGAAGCATGGGGTGGAGGAGATTAGTGAGGGTGTGGGATTCAAAGCCTCCGTGCCATGGGGCAAGTCATCATTAGTCGTGGTCCCTCCTTGTTTGGGCCTACAGAGTTGCCATAAAAGGAAAACAGTTTACCAACTCTGTGAATGGACTGAAACGTCACTGCAATGAAAGTCATCTGGGTGGCCACGCTCAGGGACGTGGGATCTGAGATGTAATGGTGTGGGCATTCATTCTCCCATCTGAGATCAAACCACGGTGGCACCATTAACAGAATTTTTCTGGTAGGAGTTGGTGGGCCCAAGTCCATGGCAGATGGCTGGGAGACTGCGAGACGGCTGGACAGGCCCCCGGTGTTAGAAGTAAGAAGTTCTTTTCAAAAAGCTTTTCATTTTACATCAAAGAAAAACTGTTTTTTTTTAAGAATCCTCTTGAGCTTTTTTAAATGCTCGTCACTACTCTCCTTCTGTTCTGAGTTTCCAGTTCCACCTGGCTCTGTACAGCTCCACACTGTCCTCCACCAGGACAGACATGCTGGACATTGCCATGGCTCTGGTCCATCTTGCTATATTCCTCTGTTTCTTCAGTAAAGGAATCAAAGGATCTATGATCTAATGACCCAGAAGCCATGGGTGCATTTGTTCCTAGAACTGGAGGGAAAAACAAGAGTTTAGTATTTGTAGTCTCTGTGCTTCCTAGGATCAGACACCTATGCGAGCCTGTGGTGATAAGGAACTAGAGTCAGATTAGCTGCTCCATCTGGCCAGTAACTTAGCTGACGCAAAGAAACCAAATGCGGGCAAAGCCAAGCCAAGTGTTCAGCTTTGAATCCCACTGAAAACTCAGCCATGCCCCCGCCCCTGGATGGTCCTCCCATCACACCAGAACTTCCCGAGGTAGACGCATGAACTCGGCTTTCGGGGTATGAAGGGTTAGAGCCAATCAGGCATCCGAAGAGACAGTGGCAACCAGGAGAATATCCTCTTTGCAAGGGCAAAACAAATTATTGGCCCTGAGGGTTGGATTAATTAAGATACCTCTGTGTATGATGTTCTGTCTGAACCTACAGTTAGCACAGAAAACCATCAGGAATTAACAGAAATGAACTCTCAAGTCAGTAAGAGGTATTTAAGGAGTGACGGCAATTTATACACAACGTGGTTTGCACATTAGGTCATAGGAAACACCCCCCTTTTTTTTTTAGTGAGAAATAAAAGAAAGCACAAATATAAGATGTTAACATTTTCCACCTGCTGATTTTCAGGTTGGTTTAATGATGCCGACTGAGCTGACCTTTCTCTCCTTGGATTCCAGAATGACAAGAATGGCCTTCTCCAGGTTCAGGGTTGTGAGTGGGCAGTTTTCCGGCTGGCACATCCTGGAGTGATAACTCAAATTGAAATCGACACCAAGTATTTTAAAGGTAAATGTCACGTAAGGAAGGGCCTTGTAGTCGGTGGGCTGACTCTCCAGGTAACGTGTCCCCTGGAGGGCAGGGGAGCTGCTCTCCGCATGGCCTCCCCTCCCAGTGCTGTGTGGTCTTGGCTCCGCAGCCGCACCTCCCCCCACAGCTCAGAGTTGGCCTGGACGACTCTGTGGTCGCCCACGATGCCCCATGCTGTGGGGCTCTGAGCTGCATGTGCAGTGAGCCCGGGGGAGCAGCAGGGAGGACAGGCCTCTGGTTGAGGGGCAGTGGTCCCGGCAGATTCTGGGGGTGACCATGTCTCTCCAGGTGTGACATCTTACTGTTATTTTTGTGGTGCTGGGGATCGAGCCCAAGGCCCTGCACCTGCTGAGCGTGTGCTCTACCACCAAGCGCACCTGGCTGCAGGCAGATGTGGAGGAGTGACCCTCACAGATTTAAAACTGCGCAGTTCTGATACTAGGAGAAATTGGTAACAAGAGAAATCTTACATTTACTTTCTTATGAGATGTACACATGGGTCATTGTATCAAGAAAGTTCCAAAGAGGTTACTGAGCTTCTACAATTGCTAGGTGACGTCGTGTTAGTATGGACGGGGCGTCTTGGGATTGCTTAGTTCTTTATGACAAATGGTGGCAGCCTGTCTTCACATTTTGTAGGGCTGATTTTTAAATGTTTCGAATCATGATGACTTCTGCTGATTTTAGCTTTTCCAGGGAAGCACAATGTACACTGAGGACAGGTCTGTCACCAACAGCGGAGGGTGTGTATTAATTGAGAAGTCTTGGTGTCTGCTGCTTTTGGAAAACCACATTTCAGACCCCATTTCCTGGTTTTTGTTTCCACTTTCCAACGTGGCTGGCATCAGCCTGTGCTCTGGGCAGGGAGGGGCCAGCTCTGCGGTTTTCTTGTGGTTTGTGTTTGTGCTTTGAGTGTCTCTTTACTCCAGTTTTCTACATGAAGGGTTTGGGTAACTTGCTTCCTTTCATAAAGAAAACTCAGGCAATAAACAGCGAATCCACTCAACCAGTTGCCCCCCAAATGCAACAGGTCATGAATATACTGCTGTCATTCCCTTGGGACAGCCCTGGGACACCGTGAGGACAGCTGTGGATGAGGGAGCATGCTAGCATTCATTTACATTATACAAGCAATACAGCAAATGACAACCACATCAAGTACACCATGCTGAATACGCACACTCACACAGGTGTGAATATCAGGGAGCAGAAATAGCAGCTGCAGCCCGTGGGTTTGCACCGTACCCCAGGAGCATGCTCACCTGCCCAGGACCTGTCTCAGGAGATGAGCCACAAAGCGGGCATGTGGACAGTGAGTGTCCTCTTTGCCAAGGTTCTTGGCAAAGCTCCTCCTTGATTGACCTTCAAGTCTCGGAGAACCTCTATTGAGCTGCTTCTCACAAAGAGGGGGTGGGGACCTTTCCCTAAGATCCTGTGACCCTGCTGGGCACACAGTCCTATGAAACTCCAGAGACATAAGAGAGACTCGGGGACCAGGTACCATCACCTGGAGGCCACTGAGAAATCCTGTGTCTCATTGGTGCTCAGCACCAGCTGATGGAGCTCAGGGTTTCTTCTTTTGCTTGTCATGTTTCAAAAGGAAACTCTTTCCCAGCATCACCATAATTCGGATGTGCCTCATGCAGTCTGAACTCCACCCCTGGAGCACGTCCAGCTTTGGCAGTAGGAACCCTGCGGGTGCACTCAGGTGTGCCAGCGCTGATGTGGCAGGCTGCTTGGGGTTCCTGCAGAGCTCAGGCGTCAGTCTCGAGAGGCAGCAACGCCACATGAACTGGCTTGTTCCTTTCCTTCATACGTCACACCTCTGCGTTTGCTTAGAAGGAGCGGTGGCTTGTTCTTTGCCTGGTTTTGATCTGGTTACACGAGCCTGTGCCCTACAAGCTGAGCTGTGCTGAGGGAATGTGCAGGGAAGGGTGCCTCTGTTTGCTCCGATAGGCAATTCTCCCGACAGCTGCAAAGTGGACGGGTGCATCCTGACCACCCAGGAAGAAGAAGACATGGTCAAGAAAAAGTGGATTCTTCCAGCCCATAAATGGAAGCCCCTTCTCCCCATCACCAAGGCATGTGGGGGACAGCGTGGGGATCTGGTCTTCAATCAGAGCTATTTCCCCTAGACTTTTGTGTGCAGATTAGAATACAATTTCAGACCTCTTTTCAGTTCAGGAGTGAAATGAACTGACATGAATGGACTTTAAAAAACTGAATGGTATACTTACCTCAGAGAAAGGCAGAGGCTTGGGAGGCTGAGGTAGGAGGACTGCAACTTCAAGGCCAGCTTCAGAAACTTAGGGAGGCCCCAAGCAACTTAGTGAGACTTAGTGAGAGTCTATCTTAGACAACAAACAGACATGCTGGGGATGTGGCTCAGTGGCTCATTGGCCAATGGCTGTGGGCTCCATCCCCAGTACAAAAAAGGAAGGGAGGACAGACTCTCTTTCCCACTTTTGCATTTCTAACCATCAATTTTGTTAAAACAAAAGTTTGTTGTGTTAAGAAGACATAAATGGAAACACGTTTCTGTGATAGTTAACTTTTTAGAAGGGGTGGGGGTGGTGCACTGGAAGCTACCTGTGGGATAAATGCCCTGAGATGGGCACTGTGGAGGCCAGGGATGCTCCCTTGTGACCACGGAGACAGCAGAGACCTGCTCTTTCACCTTCTCAACAGCTTGTCCCCATCTCTTTAAAGGGACACATGTCGGGGACCTGCCCTCAGGTCAGTGCTCCTTGGCCCTCCCCCTGCTGGCAGGGCCCCTGGAAGCTGAATAACTTAAGCTTAAGCCCCACAAGTCCAGACTGACAGGCTGAGCTGGGTCCTTGGGCCACACAGTCCTGCTCCAACAAGGACCCCCTTCTGACTCTCTTCCAGTTGTCCCCCAACCAAAACCACCTGTTCGACAGCCTGACCCTGGAGCTCCAAGACGTCATCACTCACGCTAGGTTCACCATCTTCCCGGATGGAGGCGTGAGCCGCCTTCGACTCAAGGGCTTCCCCAGCTCCATCTGCCTGCTGTGGCCCCGGGGGATCCCAGGATGAGGTTCTCAGTTAAAACGGGTTTTAAGGCAAACCTTTAACCATGTGCAAAACACTCATTTCTACACAGCAATAACTGCCCACCTGAGGTCTTTCCGAGGTTGTCAACACTTGGTGGCTGAATAAAGAGGTCACCGCACCAAGTAGCCTCTGTGTTTCCTGTTGCCATGAACCGTTTGGTAGCTTAATTATTGATGTGGCTGTGAATATAGGTGGCCTCTTGAGGAATTGCTTTTTTTTTTTAAACCCCACAAGATATTGACATTTATAACATGACTGTGTACCTTCTGGGTGTATATCCAGCAGTGGATGTGTAGCCTACTGTCTTAGAGAATTTAAACCCACCATGACCACTGGGAACAAGTATTTCTGGAATTACTCATGGTTGCAGCTCAAAGGACTGACCACTCTTCACCAGAACACGGAGGGCCTTCCACTCCCACCCCCACCAGAGTGCAGGCATTCTGAACGTCACATTTCTGGGTACCAGGCACCAGCCGCGACGTCACCCAGTTCCTCACGTGCTGCGCAGGTTCCAGACCACTTGCCTACTCCGTGCCAGGGGCCTAGGAGCTTTTTAGGCTGTAAATCTCTTAAAGAAACTGAGGCTCAGAAGGGGGAGGCGTTCCAGCAACGTCCTCTTCTGATTGTCCCGATGGTCCGGATGCTACCCGCCTTGGCCCTTGAGGGCCGCCAGCACAGTGAGTGGGTCGCGGTGGGCGCGCCTGCAGGTCCAAACCCTCTCATTCCCGCCGCTTCTGCAGGCCACCCTCCTCCTCCTCTTTCCAGAGCTGCCCGCCGCCCTCACCTGTCCTGTCCCTGCGGGCCGCGGGTCACAATCGCCGGCGCGTCAGCACACGCAGCCCTCCTGCCCTCTGTGGTGACCCTCGGGCCAGCTCCGCGTGGCCCTGCTGGCGCGGTCCGGCTCTCGCGCGGAGGCGAGCGCGCAGCGCCATGGGCACGCGTGGGCCCTACACGCTGGTGGACACCACGCCGGCCAAGACCATCCTGGTGTACCGCAACGGGGACCAGTTCTACGTGGGCCGCAAGTTCGTGTTCTCGCCGCGCCACGTGGCCAACTTCGAGGTGCTGCTGGAGCAGCTGACGGCGCAGGTGGACGTGCCCTTCGGAGTGCGGCGCCTCTACACGCCCACGCGCGGCCACTTGGTGCACGAGCTGGACGCGCTGCAGACGGGCGGCAAGTACGTGGCGGCGGGCCGCGAGCGCTTCAAGAAGCTCGAGTAAGTGTGCGCCCCGCGGCGCCGCCACCTGCGGCCACCCCGCTGCCCGCTGCCCCGAGTCCCTGCGCCCTGAGCCGCGTCCCGGGAGGACGGGCCTCTGCGCTCCTCAGGGTGCCTGGGTTTAGAGGGTGCTGGGCCCAGGGGAGGGACCCTGGGGCGGGGCTCAGAGTCCACTGGCGGTCCTGCAGGAGCTGGCCTCCTGCCGACACCTCTGCCTGTGGGGTTTGGCCGGCCCGGCCCTGAAGCCTCCTCTGCCTAGTTGTTTGGGCTGGTTTCCCTCGTGGTCCTTATTTCCTTCCACGTTTGCTCATCCTGTCCTACTGCAGACCACGTCTTTTCTACAGTTTTTTTTTTTTTCTTTCTACGGTTTTATGTGTGGAAATTCTTCCAGAGCTGAGAATCCGTGTGATTCTCCAGAGAGAATTTCCATTTCTCCCAGATTCCAGAAACGCTCCCAGTCTGAGGATACTCTTTTTGTTTTTCATTTCATTATTTTAAAAATTTGTTCTAATTAGTCCTACATGACAGGAGAATGCACTTTGACACATCATACATAAACGGAGAATGATTTCTCTGTCTTCTAGGTTGTACCTGATGTAGACTCACACTGGTCCTGTAGTCATATATGAACACAGGGTAAAATGTCTGATTCACTCTACTCTCCCTCCTATCATCTGGCCCCTCCCCTCCCTTCACTTCCCTTTACCTAATCTACGGTGACTCCATTCTGACCTAGCCACCCTCCCTCATTGTGAATTAGCATCCGCATATTAGAGAAAACATTTGGCCTTTGGTTTTTTGGGATTGGCTTACTTCACTTAGCATGATCTTCTGTAGCTCCATCCATTTACCAGCAAATGCCATAATTGCATTTTTCTTTAAGGCTGAGTAATATTCCATTGTGTATATTATACTACATTTTCTTTATTCATTCATCTGTTGAAGGACACCTAGTTTGGTTCCATAGTTTAGCTGTTGTGAGTTGAGTGGCTATAAACATTGTGTGGCTACGTCACTGTAGCATGCTGATTTTAAGTCCTTTGGGTATAAACCGAGGAGTGGGATAGCTGGGTCAAACGGTGGTTCCATTCCAAGATTTCTGAGGAATCTCTATACTTCTATACTGCTTTCCATAGTGGTTGCACCAATGTGTAGTCCCAAATTGTATGAGTGAATCTTTTTCCCCATCCTCACCAATATTTATTGTTGTCTGTATTCTTGATGATCGCCATTCTGACTGGAGTGAGATGAAATCTTAGAGTAGTTTTGATTTGCATTTTTCTAATTGCTAGAGATATTGAATTTTTTCATATATTTGTTGATTGATTGATTATATATCCTTTTGTGAGAGGTGTCTGTTCAGTTTCTTTGCCCATTTAATGATTGGGTCATTTGCTTTTTTTGGTGTTAAAGTTTTTTGAGTTCTTTATATATCCTGGAGATTAGTGCTCTATCTGAGGTGTGTGTGGTAAAGATTTTCTCCCACTCTGTAGGCTCTCTCTTCATATTATTGTTTCCTTTGTGAGGAAGAAGCTTTTTAGTTTGAATCCAACTCATTTATTGATTCTTGATTTTACTTCTTGTGCTTTAGGTGTCTTATTAAGGATCAAAGATACTCCTAATTAAATTAGTGGTGTGAGATTTTAATTTTTTTGAAAAAAAAAAGAATAAAAAAAGGAGTTGGTTTTACTGACAAGTGGTGAGTATCCTAAATTCTTAATGATTTTTGCAAAGATACAAATTTAACATCCTGTTATTTCTAAAGAAAAAAATCATCCTTCTGCAGTCCCCTGGGCCCGCATGTCTGTGTCTGAGAGTGCCTCCGCCTGGTTGTGCATTGCTGTGGCATTGTCTTCTTCAAAGTTGAAGGGGCCACAGCTCTGAATCTGAATATTTACCTTCTAATCCTGTTTCTCCCTCTTCTCTTGCAGCTATATCCATATAGTTCCCAGAAAGCCCTCCAAGAAGAGGAAGTTGAAGGAAGTAAGTGTGCACGGCCGAGGGGAGGAGATGGGCCAGATCATTGGGTAACAATCTAAACTGATAGAGCTCCCGTCCTGACTTCCTGGGGCTAAACCGCAGGGTTTGGCAGGAAGTGCCCCTGGAGTGCGGGAAGGCCCTGGGTGAGCTTGTCAGGTTGTCAAAGCCTCAGTGCCCCAGTGACGGGAGTCATAAAAGTGCCCTGGGCCACACCAAGGGAGATGGGCATCTTTGAGGCACACTATGAAGTTACTGGTTAAAACCTCTCATTTTCCTTTTGTTTTGGGGATTTGGGAAGTGGATGTCAGGAAGAGCTATTTAAAGTCATGCAGGTTGATGCTAATGATAATGCTGGCTTTGCCCATGATAGGCTTCTGAGAGGCATGTGTGTGTGGGGGAGGGGTGCCTGTCATTCCATCCGTGACACTTGATTCCTAACAAAAACAGCACAGCCACTCAGTCACTAGAGACCCACCTTTTTCTGTAACAAAACCCAACAGTTTTGAGTAATGGAGCCTATTGATATTTAGGATTTATCAAGATTTTTACTTTTTTAAACAAACAGAGTCAGCTCTGTGGAGTGTCACCAGGTGGGTGCTGAGGTGCCTCCTCTTCTACAGCACCCTCTCTTTTGCTCTTCTGTGGAGGTGATGGTCTGTACCAGAGGACTGGGGCAGGACTCAGTGACACACTGTGTGGCGCTGTCAGCAGGAGGAGTTGTCAGCTGTCCTCCTCCACACCCTGAGCCTCACGACTGCCCGTCCTTGTGCACCTCCACATCCCAGGAACCTTCGGGTAGCTCCAGAGTGGCGCCCAGGCACCGCCGACAGACCCACAGCTCTCAGGGCAGTGAAAGGAAGTCAAATTCAGTGTGTCCCCAACTTCAATTGTGACCGTCCAGGAGGGCAGGTTTCCCCTGACAATCTGGCCGTCACTGTGGGTCAGGGCTGGGCTGATGGAGCAAGTGGCGCCTGTTCTTCTTGGCATCCAGCCGTTTGTTTACCCCTCTGTCGGGGCTGGGGAGGGATCAGCACATTTCTGAAGTTTAAGTCTGTGCTCATTCGTGCACATTTCAGTGGATTCAATAAAATACAACTTACCGGTAACATCTCAGGATGGGGAGGCTTGCAGACTGTCTTGTGGAACCTTATTTTCTAGCCGAGGGAGCCGTGACCTGCAGAGGTTGTGTGCCCAGTGTTGAAGGGCAGCCTGGGCACACTCAGGGGGAGCTTCCCAGGATGGGGTGGGGCAGCACCTGCCACTGCCCTCGCCCCTGAGGTTGAGGCTGTCCTTGTCAGAAGAGTCGGAAGGTTTTCTCTGGGGACTTCCACTCTGTTAACTTAAAACACACGACTGAAAAGTTCCCGCGAGCTGCTCAGGAAGGCACAAGGAGGACGGTTGAGAACTCACCAACAACCTTCCTTCCAAAGCGACCCCAGGGGCTGCATTCTGTCCTGCCTTCCTAGCTGGTTTCTGTGACCTGTAGCAGGCACACACACACACACACACACAGAGAAATAGAATCTACCCTAGTCAGCTTTGTGTCCCTGGGCCCGAGGGACTGAGGAGGACAAGAGGAGGAAAGGCTCATCTGGTCATGGTTCACAGGTTCAGTCCACAGCCAGCGACTCCACAGCTCTGGGCCCAGGCGAGGCAGAGAACATCGTGCTGCAGGGCACGAGAGGAAGGCAGCTCCAAAACAAAACCCCAAAGGCATGCCCAGGGGCCCACCTCCTCCAGCCACACTGGACCTGCCTACAGTTGCCACCCAGCTAACCCACATCAGTGGATTAACCCGCTGATTAAGTCACGCCTCTCACAGTCTAATCGATTCACCTCTGAACATCCTCGCATTGTGTCACACATGGGCTTTGGGGATACCTCATATCCGAACCACAACAGTATCCATCAACAAAGTCTTTTTTGGTGATACTTGAGGTTGGACCCAGGGCCTTGTGCATGTTAGGCAACTGCTGTGCCCTGGGGCTACATCTCCAACCCTTTTTATTTATTATTTAAACATTTGAGACAGGGTCTTACTAAGTTGTCAAGGCTGACCTTGGACTTGTAGCTGGGAGTATGGGTGTGCACACCACTATGTCCAGTTAATAAAGTCTTTTCGGATCTTTATTTACCATACGTCATGGTTATTTTCTTGTACTGTAAGTACTCTTCTGCAAACCTGATTTTTAATGCCTGAAAAACTCTTTCCTGTGAATTTATCTTTATTATTTAACTCATTCCTTGACAGCAGACTCTTTGATTCATCCTACCTTTTCACAATCTTAAACAGTGACACCGTGGGCCCCTTTCAGAGACACAGTTGCTACATCATGATGGTTTTCACAGAAGTGGAATCACGGCACCATCTTAATCCCTTTGGTGTTTCTCTGGATTGGGTTCCAGAGCTTCTAACCACTTCTGTTGCTCCAGCAGCATCTGAGATGCCCTTCGCTGCTCTTGGGTGTTGCAG